AAGGAAAATGGAAATAAAACACAAAGGCAATAATAATGGTAATGTTATCAAGCAAATGAATAGACAAATTTATGGTGATGGTGGTGATGGTAACAGTGATGTGTGGTGATGGTGTGAATGTGAGGTGACGGTGGTGGTGATGGTAACAGTGTGTGACGGTGATGGTGACGGTGGTGGTTGGGTGTGTGTGGTGGTGATGGTGACGGTGTGGTGATGGTGACGGTGGTGGTGATGGTAACAGTGACGGTGGTGGTGATGGTAACGTGACGGTGTGGTGATGGTAACAGTGACGGTGGTGGTGATGGTGACGGTGGTGGTGATGGTGATGGTGTGGTGGTGGTGGTGATGGTGACGTGTGTGGTGATGGTATGATGGTGATTGGTGGTGGTGAGGTGGTGTGGTGATGGTGACGTGACGGTGGTGGTGATGGTAACAGTGATGGTGGTGATAGTGACGGTGGTGGTGATGGTGTGTGATGATGGTGATGGTGGTGGGTGATGGTAACAGTGATGGTGATGGTGATGTGGTGGTGATGGTGGGTGACGGTGGTGATGGTGATGGTAACAGTGATGGTGGTGATGGTGATGTGACGGTGGTGATGGTGATAGTGAAGCAGTGAATAGTGACGTGGCAGTGACGGTGGTGATGGTGTGATGGTGGTGATGGTGATGGTGGGTGGTGTGATGGTAAACAGTGATGGTGGTGATGGTCAGTGATGGTGGTGATGGTGGTGGTGGTGATGGTAACAGTGATGGTGATGGTGAAGGTGGTGTGGTGATGTGACGGTAACAGTGACGGTGGTGATGGTGACGGTGGTGGTGATGGTGATAGTCATGGTGGTGGTGATGGTGATGTGTGTGGTAATAACACTGATGATGGCACAATGATGATGATGAATAATGATAATGATAAAGAATTATGATTATAATGATAATGACGATGATAATAAAGACTGGTGATGATGACGATCATAAAGAATGATAATAATGATGATGTTAAAGAAGGATGATAATGATGATAATGCTGATGATGATAAAAACAATAAAGACAACAATAAATAAGGTTATGATAACGATCCAACTCAGACCACAGACGATGATAATGATAAAAATGATAATGACAACCATAACAATAATACCAGCTGCACCAAAAGAAAAACAACAGAATTTATAACACAACAAAAACAACAAAAACAACAACAGAAATATCAAACTACACGATAAAAATCCTTCTTGAATTACACTCCATTCATCCTGCTCACTGTCAACACACTTCTGACACTATTATTAGACTAGCAACACCCACCCTCCTGATAGGCCTACATAGCCTTACCACACTCATGCTGTGTATCAACTTCCTTCCGATTAGCCTTCTCTTCCTTTCTCTCTCTCTTTCTTTCTCTTTCCTCCCCTCTCTCTCTCTTCTCTTCTTTCTCTCTCTCTCTCTCTCTCTCTCTCTCTCTCTCTCTCTCTCTCTCTCTCCCTACTTTCCCCCTCGTGTCTTCTGTCCTAATGTGAATGTTCCTCTTCTTTCTTTTCTCTCTATCCGCCCTTTTATTCATTCCTTCTCCCTTTCCTTCATTTCATGCCGTAACACCATTCACTATCTTCATCATTTCCTTCCTTCCCCTACTTCTGCCTCCATTCCGTTATTCCCCTCCCCTCTCCCTCTCCCCCAACACCCCCTTACCCAACTCCTAAACCTCCCTCCCTCTCCCCCCCCCCCCTTCCCTTCCGCTTAACATCTCCACTCCATCCCCAACTCCCCTCTCCCCCCATTACCCCAAAGCGTAATCCCTCCACTTCTCCCCTCCTTTTCCTCACCTCCATCCTCCCTCTTCTCCCAACTCTCTCTCTTCTATCGCTCCTCCCCCTTCCCCTCTTCTTCCTCTTCTTCCCTCTTTCCCTTTCCTCTTCTGCCCCCCCTCTTCCCCTCTTCCCCTTTCCCTCTTCTGCCCTCCCCTCTATCCTCCCTTCCCCTTCCCTCTTCTGCCCCTCCCTTCCCCTTTCCCTTTTCTGCCCTCCCTTCCTCCTCCCTCTTCTTCTCTCTTTTATCCCTCCCTCCCCCTTTCCTCTTCTTCCCCCTCCCTCCTTCCCATCCTCTTCTTCCCCTTCCCTCCCTCTCTCCCCCCTCCCTATCCTCCCCAACCCGCCTTAATCCCCAACTGCTGACCGGAAATGCCATCCTTGTCTTTAGTGAGGTTTAAGTTTCAAAAGCTGTCGACCTAAGCGCTAAAAAGGGGGTTTATTTTTGGGTCTCGGTTACTACAGAGGCAGTGCAAGTGACCCAGGCAGCCCCGGGCACGCCTGTGGGGTTTTGTAACACAGGTATGGTGTGTTGTTTGTCTTCTCGTTATCCAAAAAAAAAGTGAGATTTCCTCATTTGTTTACTTTGTTTTTTGGGTTGGTTGTCCTTATCTGTTTATCTCTCGGTTGGTTGTCCTTATCTGTTTTCTCTCTCTCTCTCTCTCTCTCTCTCTCTCTCTCTCTCTCTCTCTCTCTCTCTCTCTCTCTCTCTCTCTCTCTCTCTCTCTCTCTCTCTCTCTCCCTCCTATCCGTTCGTTTGACTTTGTACCCAATTGCTTATGCACTCATTCATCTACATCTCTGTGCACACACACGCTAAATCAATTATTTATCTATTAGTTTATTTATCTACTTAGTTCTTGAAATAATTATTCATCCACTAGCCCATTCACTGACTCATTTACAAGTCTATTTTTTCACTCACAATGATATCAATGACGGTGATGGTGGTGATGATAATGATAAAGATTATTATTAATGATGCTAATGATAATATAACAATAATAATATAACAGTAAAATAGCAGTCGCATTGATGAAGAAGAGGAGAATGTTGCAATAATATTAACATCTTGGTGATGATAATAACAACGATAATGATATTAATGTGATATTGCAAGTTGCTCTCAAATTGTCCCAACAGCATCAACTACAACAAAACTAAATAAAATGAATTGAACCATTTAAACCCAAATCACGAATCAGACCCCCCCCCCCCATCAATGCACTGTATAAAAAGTAAACAACATTAAAATATACAGTGACCAACATTCTTCCTCACAACGACAGTCATCCTGGGGCTAACTCAAACTCGCTTCTTCATTAACATACTCATCCTTCTTGCCCCTCCTCCTCCTCCCTTCCCCCTCCCCGTTACCCTCTCCTTCAACCCCATCCAACCCCCTCCCCCTTTTACTCCTCTCTCCCAGGCATCCTCCCCCTGTCCCCTCCCTTCTTACGCTCACTCCTCTAGCACCTACCTCACCCCCCCCCCCCTTTTAGCCTCCCTGCTCCCCTCCTACCTTCCCCCAACACCCACTGCCCTCCTCCACTTCCACCAGTCCCCTCCCCCTCTCTCTATCTGCTGCCCCCAAGTTGCTAGTCAGCGTTACAATTTTCTACACATCATCACACTGGCCAATTCAACCAAGAAAAAATCCGACAGGGTAAACACTGGGGGTGTGTACAGGGCTGTTTATGTTTGTTTGTTTTTATTGTCTGTGAATTTTAAACTACTTGTCCGCTGTTTGTGATTATGGCGGTACTTGTCTGTTGTCATTATAGTTTTTTAGTAGGATGTGGAATCTAATCATATCTAATATAAATGGGTATTCTCCATGCATACCTGGTTACAGTATATGACATTAAATGGCATTCGTTATACGCTACCAAGGGAATCATTACATGGAAAGGTTTTACCGTTATAGTTATTTTTGGGTTTTGTTTACCCGTTTCATGTAAACAGTAGCATACATATTTATATACCCTCAGATTTATAGACAGTGACACTTACTTAATATAAGAAACTGGTCAATACCTTTTTTTCCTTATAACAGACATGCTAAATACCAATCAATACCTGATTTTCAAAAACAGTTCAACTACGATCTTGAACAAAACAGAACTGCCACACAAATATAAACATAAGATGGAAATGACATGGACATCTACGAATAATTAAACCGGACACAATCCCTAACGATTTTGTGCACTGCGTCCAGGCAGATCATGGTAGGCAGGCGCATGACAGTGACACCATCTGCCGCATGTCTCCGGGCCCAGCTGCCAGTTGGTCTCTCGAGAGCAAAGGGGAGAGAGAGAAAGAGAAAAAAAAGTTCACATGCTGTAACATTCAAGCTGCAATATGACGTCACAGTGTAATGTTCGCACACACGCACTTTGTCGTTTAACAGCCGCTCGGGAAAACGTCTTCTCAGCTCGGCATCCACTTTTGTTTCTCTCGCCAGCGACTTATTCTCGGTTCGAAGCCGTGGTTGTCTCAGTCCCTGCCTCAACACGCACACACACACACGTACGGACATCTATCAAACATATACGCAGGCACAAGCACTAACGCAGACACGCTAGTAAAAGGGAGGTTTCCCGAAAGCCTAACAATAGACATCTGGCACTCACGTCTTGCTAAGTAGTGTCTGTGCAATCGCTGTGTTGACGCGAACCCCTCAACTTAGGCAGCTTCTAGGATTCCATGTTGATCTCTAGCTTGCTAACAAATAAATCCCGAATTATACGCCATATTTACAATCCATTTAGAATATATCAGGACTACATCAAACTGCGTGAATCATCTTAAAAATAGAAAAAAATATATCTCCCGGCATTTCGGCATAGCGGGTGCCGGGCATACAAGGCAATATTTAATTGAAACACGATGAAGTGTCATGAAGACATTAATGCAAATGACGCAAATAAAATACACGAGCATAATTTCCGCAGATGACATCAAGGCCAGCGCCTAGGCCTACATACTTAACGAGTGCAATGTCAAGTCGTATTTTTAGCTTAGAAAACCGTATGTCTTACGCATGGCCATCACGTGTGTCTGAGCCTTGAGAGGGCACTAGACGCAAACGTAACACGTGCCAAGAACAAGTGTGATGAACACTGAAAATCACAGTGCAATGGCTGTAACTACCAAAATAAGATACAAGTAGTTATTATTTCCACGACCTACCTCATCACCCCATTTCAGACAATCTCCCTGGCGACCCTTCAGCTGATGAAACTGGTTGATGAACTGTTTGATGCCATGTTCTCGCACGTGGTCAGCATGCTTTTTGGTCTCGGGCCAGGAGAGCGGTGTGCCCTCTGACAAAAGCCCCATAGCGTTTCTTAGACGTCCTTTCTCAGACGTCCAACCAAGACCAGAGTTGCCTCACACTGGCTTGGTTGGTGAGCTCGCGTCG